TTTCGACCTCAGCGGTCTTGATTCTCGGTTTTCGACCTCAATGGTCTCGACTCTCAGTTTTCGACCTCTGGCGGTCTTGATTCTCGGTTTTCGACCTCAGCAGTCTCGACTCTCGGTTTTCGACCTCTTGCGGTCTTGATTCTCGGTTTTCGACCTCTTGCGGTCTTGATTATCGGTTTTCGACCCCAGCGGTCTCGACTCTCGGTTTTCGACCTCTTGCGGTCTTGATTCTCGGTTTTCGACCTCAGCGGTCTCGATTCTCGGTTTTTGACCTCAGCGGTCTCGACTCTCAGTTTTTGACCTCAACGGTCTCTCGACTCTCGATTTTCGACCTCTTGCGGTCTTGATTATCGGTTTTCGACCCAAGCGGTCTCGACTCTCGGTTTTCGACCTCTTGCGGTCTTGATTCTCAGTTTTCAACCTCAGCAATCTCGATTCTCGGTTTTTGACCTCAGAAGTCTCGACTCTCGATTTTTTACCTCAGCGGTCTCTCGACTCTCGGTTTTCGACCTCAGCGGTCTCGATTCTCGATTTTTGACCTCAATGGTCCCGACTCTTGGTTCTCGATCTCTTGCGGTCTCGATTCTCGATTTTCGACCTCAGCGGTCTCGACTCTCGGTTTTCGACCTCAGCGGTCTCGATTCTCGGCTTTCAACCTCAGCGGTCTCGGTCCTCAGTTTTCGACCTCAACGGTCTCTTGATTCTCGGTTTTCGACCTCAACGGTCTCGATTCTCGGTTTTTGACCTCAGCGGTCTCTCGACTCTCAGTTTTTGATCTCAGCGGTCTCGGTTATCAGTTTTTGACGTCAATGGTCTTTCGCTCTTGGTTTTCGACCTCAGCGGTCTCGATTCTCAGCTTTCGACCTCAGCGGTCTCGGTCCTCGGTTTTCGACCTCAACGGTCTCTCGATTTTCAGCTTTCAACCTCAGTGGTCTCTCAATTCTCGGCTTTCGACCTCAGTGGTATATCGGTTCTTGATTTTCAACCTCAACGGTCATTCGGCTCTTGGCTTTGGTTTCTCGACCTCTGTCGAAGGTCCTTCAATTATTTATTTCAGTGGCAAGTTGAAGAAATCAGCTCGAAGAGGCATTTCACTCTTGGATCGAGTTATGCTTACTCGACCAGAGTGGGGGGACTAGATGATATAGGATATTATACTGGACCTGGTTTAATGGATAAAGCGGATACATATTGGAAGATAAGCCCACTAAGACATCTAAGCCCAACTTGGGCCTAAAAGGTACACTCCCCCTATAAAAGGGGGCCAAGGTACCTCATTCTCTCATCCTCTATCCATTCCATACTACACTCTTTA